TTCGATAACGATTTCATTATATGACAAAGATTTTTTTTGAATTGGAATGGATTGTTGATAGAGTATAACAGTACAGATTTTACAAGCAGTATGTTTGTCACAATAAGAAGCGAATGTTATACCACACATTAAGACTAACCAACTGAACCAAAAGTCCCTATACCTTCTATAAGCCCTCTGTTAGTCACTGCTACTTTTCTGACTGTACCAATCTACCTAGTTTCAAAGGCACATACCGGCATCATAAATAGACTCTCTTACATCGAAAAGGTCTAACCGTCTAACTATTCATTCGCAATTATACCTATAATTACCAAGACAGTTTTAATTATCCGCTGCTGTTAGCTCAAGCCAGAAACAATTACTTTTCGTCAATTAGGAAGCGTTAAGTACGCAAAGGAAGTCTTTAATTAAGCTAAGTGATTATTTCTGTTGTTTATTTTTAATGGGAAAATAGGGATGATGACAGGGTATGAACATTAAAAATCTAATTAGTCTTTCAGTTAGGTAATAAAGAAATTAAGAACGTATTTTTTTATTTTGTCGTATAAGAAAACAATACTTAGATAAAACGAATCAAAGTTTAGGAGTGGGAGCTAGCTACATCATTATTTGAGTATAAATCGTAAATAAAAGTGACGTCATGCGATATTTCAAATCAATATATCGTCAAAAGTATTCGTTTCCGTAAGAAAATAAAAAAATAACTACATGCCTAATGTTAATAAATACTCTACCAGACGGACATTAAAATAAAAATTAGACATCTACCCTATTGACTAACTAGGATAAGTTAACAGTCGTGAGTGACAACAGAGTACCTATTACATATTTGCCAGTACTCCTACCGTTCCCACGGATGTCGTAAGACCCTACTGAGGGTCTTCATTTCATAGAGACATTCCACTAATGGATTATACACTATAGTATTTAGCGCCGAATTGAATTCGGAAAACAATGAGAAGAATCTTTTAATAGGTACTAGCATTGTATTTATGTCCTAAGGTATTCTTCATGTTTGTAAAGTTCATAGTTAATTGTGTCATCGAATTTGGTGATGTTTAGAGGAATTAGGTCAGTAACTAGTTATGTGAAATGCAAAACATCTATAGAATTGTGATTTGTCATTACAATAACAAATAGAGTCGCCTTTTTTATTAATAAACTAGTTATTCTAAGAAAACGCATGTAATAGTAATTAGGTAAGACATTTTCGGCAATAGTATGTCGCAAATACGTCATGTTCCGTTTTAACATTGTCATCGGGCACAAGTTCCCATCCGAATTGACACAAAGACCACCAGCCTCGATCCAAATACAGAATCTAAACAAAATAAAACCGCATTCAGTTCATTTTATAGTAAGATTTATTTGTTCGGAACTCGTTTAGGAGTCCTTTGTGTGCAGACAGCGTCTCTTTGTGTCCACTAAACTACTCTCAAATAGGGGACACGTATACCGTCAGGTCATCTAGAAAGCAAACCTAGTTCACGGTCGATGTTCGCTGAATTTCAAAAATATAGACTCAAAACTGTTATTGAGTTTAAAACAAGATTCATAAAATTGAGACAGACAAAATTTAACGACTTTATCAAATTGCAATTGATTTTGAGAAAGTAGACAATGATGATCATAATAATTATTTAGGAAAGACGTAGTTATTGAAATGCATTTTGTCTCATAATTTAACTAGGTATAACAAGTTTCGTGGAGGCTCCGGAGCAGGTCTCTTTTAGAGGACCCGGTGCCTCCATTCAGGTGTTGAGGGTGGCCACCGGGGTGGTTTTAGTGAGGTAAAAAGAAACCCACACTCCCTAGTCAAAAAAAAAAAAAAAGGCGCCTTTTGAAGGTTTCCCCACGTCATCAAAAAAAAAAAGGTTTTAACTAGGTAGTTTATTATGAGATAGTTTATGGTTTGTATTGGTGGAAAAACGTTGCTCTCGCTACTACCTAGTTACTGTAAAATGGTGCAACAATTGCTAATTCGTTATAACTGAAATCCAAACTTAACTGTTGTTGCTGTTACTTTATGTTAATTAATCAATCTGTGGAAACGGAAGGTCGTGAAGGTATAGGAAGTAGTCAATTGCATTAATTTATCCATAACGGGCTAAACATCCGGACACTTACATGCGGAAATGAAAAACTCTATCAGTCGATGCAATTTGCATCTTAGCAATCTTTCTATCGGATCTTGTAGCTTGGAAGGGATTAACTATTAATAGACCTGAACTAGTAGATGCCGGTGGCTTCCAACAGGCCGATTTAAGTTATTAGGGGGATCTAGATTCAGCAGTGGACATCTTAAGGCTGATGTGATGATAATGGTGTCCAGGTTAATTTGTTCAGGGTGCTTAAATCTTTAGCTCAGAATAGCACGGACAGCTGTCGCAATTTAAACATTTAGGTAATAGGTATTATTACAGTCGTTACGTGACACGAGAAACTTGAATCAAGAATGTCGGATCATTTATTGGATTGCGTGTTGGGTCTACCCAAAATATTGGCACACTGTCGTATCTTGAAGATTCATTGTTGACTCTAACATTTTTTTATACCACAGCGGTGGCAAAAAGCTCACGACCCACCTGATGTTAAGTGGTCACCGTGGCCTATGAACGCTTGGAGCACTTGGGGCATTACATGCGTCTTACCGACTATTAAAAAAACCTATTTACTCCCTAGTTAACGTATCTTTGATGATCTGATAGCAACTGCTTTAGGTCTTATCTGTGTCATTTGCATTTACCTCGTGTAGCAATAGCAATTTTCAAAAACTAATCGAATATTTAGTTAAGCTTCAATATCTAAAGCCACACAAGACTAGACAATAATAGAACTATGTAAACAGAACCAGTTTATGAGTAGTTATCTAGGATATATCGCCATTGTTACCGGCTTTCCAATATACCACGTGCGGCCTGCTCTGAACTCTGAAGAAAGTAACTTATGGTTTCACTTAGAGCGGTGGACTGAATTTCAAGCAGCTCTTGATAGGACCAGTCAGATAACGAATGACAGTAAGATTTAAAGTTTTGCGACCAATACCTACAGATTAGGTACATTTTATCATGTCTTCCGGATATTTCAAGACAGATTTGGTAAAGGTGTTCGCACTTCTAGTAGTTTTACTTTTTGCCTCATATGTAGGTACATACCTATGTTTTTTTTTCGAATAAGTATCAGGGAGATTGTTAAAATACCTACTATTTTTTTTAAAGTGTAACGACTGGAGTTTCTTGTCGTTCTTCTCCATTCGAATGTACTTTTTGGAACGAGCGCCTAGCTTCACTGACGGACAGACTGCAGATTATCAGGTATTTACGTTTCAAAAGTACCAAATTATGTTTTAATGGAAATAAATGCTTTTGAGTTTGAGTTTCCCATTAATATAGAATAAAAAATAAAATAAAATACATTTATTTCAGGTGATCATAACCCACTTTATTACATTGTTAATCAGATAGGTAAAATATATTAATAAGTAAAGATACAATTGTTCTATTTAGGAAATTTGAAGAATGACCTGATATCTACCTAGTTATTCGTAAAAACTAAAGGCCGAAAGCGGAAAGTACCTCGTGTAATAACGGTTCTTCTTGGAAGCACCTCTTTTGGATTTCTTATAAGATACTTATATCTGGCCTTTAGCCAACAAAACTAACGCCTTACAGGGTCACGCACAAGTTGATTAAAAGTTTCCATCTGACAAAGTACCTATCTACCTGTCCTCTGCTCTCTAGTCTCTACTATCCACCATAGAAATTCAATTGTTGTGTGCGTGTTTCCTCCTCTTAATCCTTATAACTATTATGACCCGCATTAAAACATGCAAAATCCATCGCCATTATGACTAACAAGATTATTACGTCATCAGACAGACATCGGCATTCATGGAACCTTTGCAAGTTTAGTCCAAAACCGCAGAACGAAAATAATATTCGATTTACCTACATTAGTATCGGCGTACCTATTGCTTCATGAAAGCAAATCAGCAACCACTAATCTACCCAAGAGATGAAAGAGCAGTTTAAAGCTTCGAAATATGAATGAAGGTTAGAGGTTTTTAAACCGACGTGGTTAGCGTAACTTTCGTCCAAAATTGGTAAGGTTCTAAAAAGGTAACTTCTCTACTGCTCACCGAGTTAATGTTAACGTGTACTTAAGTTAATAAGGACCACTTTAAAACCTGTTTTCGTGTTACAACTGTTTAAGATTTGAAAAGTTAGCATAATTCGCTGACCTTCGGTGTAATTATATACCTAAATAAAGGCCTACTAAAGCAATTTGCTTAGGTACTGACTTGAATCGATACCTTAGCGAATACCTTAGGTGTTAATTTTGCGAAGGTTTGCTCTCATTTGACACCATACCTAAATCACAGATTTAGATAAAGTTTGATGAAAAAGTAAAACAGTCAGCGAGGTTTCCTACGAGCTTTCTTGGTCGTCAAAGGTTTTAAGTTAAACATCTCACTTAAGACAGCTGATTGCCATAGCAACCAAACCGACAATTACACAAATAACTGAATAGTATTTCACCGTTCCGACATGAATAAATTAGCTAATAATTTAGGTGTTTTCTCTCACAAGACGGATAAACGTGCGTGACAAACCGGTGGAGAATGGCAAATGGGGACCTTTGCAACAAGGTCATAGCTTGCTTAACTCTCGATGTCTGCTATCTTTATATTTATGAATCATAGGTGAGAAATATTGACCTTAAAGATCCTGGTAAAGTGTTAAAAACTTTTTGTCTAAAATAAAAAAAGTAGCAACGAACGTGCCCAATTTGAATATCGAAAAAAAAATACAAAGGACAGACTTTTAAATTTGCATTTTAAAATATGAAATGTAAATAAAATAAAAAAAATAAGCTGATTAATTTACTGTCTGTCTAAGAAAAATTGGTGTCGTAATAATTACGGCTGTTGATTTTGTAATAACTTTGTAACATAAGTGTATGTTTTTTTTGGAAATTATTCTCGAAAGTACACTCACCGTAAATAAGGTCAGTCGAAAAATCACACGCGTTGCATCCTGTACTTTTTATACACAAAAACGGGGCTCAGCACTAGGTGTGTTCGATTTGATACAAAACCAGTGGTTCACAGCACAACAATACCGTTACTTCGACAGCTTGACATCACAGAAAACGGTCAAAAGTATCATAACAACACACTAAACAACACTTTATTAATTGACACAAACCTACATAATTACTGTTTCAGTAATATTAAAGTAATACACACGATATAACAAAAATAAACTTGGATTAATATTCGGTCTAGCCCGCCACCGTGGAATTTAACTCGACAACTGACAACTTGTGTTTACGTTACGTTCCATTGACACGATTTCATCCGTCTCGTTCTAACACTAAACAGCAATAAACGTGCGAAAGAGAGAGACAATGTTAACCGTAATGCAATTATTATGTTCACTAGCAGTGCCTCTAGTGGCTATTTTAGGTACTAGCAACTGAGGAGGTTTTGTTTTGACTTCATTGATCAATCACTTGGTTCGTTTTGAATCCGATAGATAGCGTTATTATTAAATAGACTGTTAGTTTTATTACCTACGTGTTGTTTTGATAGATGGCGCTTTTCTCACAAATCAAAAGCTCTCGTCTTATCTTATAGGTACTCTTATACATATAAAGCTGAAGAGTTTGTTTGAACGCCCTGATCTCAGGAACCACTAGTCCGATTTGAAAAAATGTTTTTTTTTGTGTTCCAACACAAAAACATTATTTCAAACCACATAACATAACATAACATCCCGCCTTTTATTCCCGAAGGCAGAGGTGTACATTATGCCACTGTACAATGTAACACCCATTTTCACTATTTATGTTATGAGTCCCATGTAATAGGGGGTGAGTCTATTGCCATTTGCATTTGCCATTATTACTATTGCCATTTACCTACCATATTTCAAATCATCATATCAATTATAGTTCATTTATCGAGGAAGGCTGTGAATAGCTTTTCTATAAAACATCACGAATAGGACTGCCTCGTTGGCCGAGTGGTCGCAAGTGCGACTGCCGGGCAAGGGGTCTCGGGTTCAATTCCCGGGTCGGGCAAAGTACTACTGGGTTTTTATAAATTCTCAGTAGTAGCACGGAGTCTGGAATTGTGCCCGGTATATGGCAATAGGCTCACCCCCTATTACATGGGACTCATAACATAAATAGTGAAAAGTGGGTGTAACATTGTACAGTGGCATAATATACACCTCTGCCTACCCCTTCGGGGATAAAAGGTGTGATGTTATGTTATCACGAATAGGACCCGAGCAGAGCGGGTAAAGCCGCACGGACGTACCTATGGTAAATAATTATTTAGTAAGTAGTTAAGATTTTTTACTTACCTTAAGTTAAGATTTTTAGTTTACTATAGAACGATTTCAATTTTCACCACTTACATGAGTGAACTGAAGTGAAGGAGTAATATTGGTAAGCCCTAGGTTATTACACTAACCGAATACAATTCCAGAACCTGTGCTAAGTATAATATCACTGACTGAAACATTTTCGAACGAACTCTTAAAATAATATTTTCCCCCAACCCGAGAGATTGAAACCGAAAGGTCTTATTAGGCTGTTGCGTTTTAACCCTTTGAGTACCGTCATTATAGATACATTAGAGGACAATAGGCTGCGGTCACCGGTGTCCTCGCAGTGTTTGACAGTTTTATATTTTTAACTAGCTACTTGCGCGCGGTTTCACCCGCTCTGCTCAGCTCCTATTGGTCGTAGCGAGATGTTTCATAGCCTATAGCCTTCTTTGATAAATGGACTATCCAACACAAAAAGAATTATTCAATTCGAATCAGTAGTTTCGGAGATTACCACGTTCAAACAAACAAACAACAAAACAAACTCTTCAGCTTTATAATATTAGAATTGATGACGGTCTTTAAAGACAGTTGTGATTGGTACAGCTCGAAAGAAACCTTAAAATAACATATTCCTCGACCCGAGAAATTGGCAGTCGTATTTATAACCACTCCACCACCTAGACAAGTTATTAGGAAATACAATAATTTAAACCCCCTTTCAACACTTATCTATTGTTGATGAAGTTGTTATTCTACTGATTTACGGATAATTGCGTGACTAATACCTAACATGAAATGTGTCTTAATTAATATGCCAGCCGTTAACAGACATTGACAATAATAGGTAATTCTGATACATCGCTTAAACTGTTCGTAGACTACCTCTTTGGCCGGCCGAGTGGTCGCAAGTGCGACTGCCGGACAAGGGGTCTCGGCTTCGATTCCGGGGTCGGACGTAGTAATACTGGGTTTTTAAAAAAGAAAATCTCAGTAGGTATATTTATGTTATAACTTTCCTAAGACTAGTTTCAAGCCATGCTAGAGGCTCATATTCATAATCAGCAGGTATATGGCAATATTATCACCCACCTTTACATAGGACTCTCTTCTTCGAAGAACCATCAGACCACCACGGGTGGGGTCAATAGGGCTGATGCCGATTCGAAATCGCGGAGAACCTAACGGGTTACCGGAGCTTCGGCTCGATGTACATGAGAAGGAACGGGGTGGTTTTTAGTCAGTAAGAATCTGACACTCCTTCCCGCCTCACCCAGGCGGCAGCAGGGCAAAGAGGCCTTTGGTCAGCAGTAGCCACTTATAGGCCGTTGTTAATAGTCATGATCCACCGGCAGCCTTTTAAATCTTTACTCCCTTTACTTCCATACTCCTATAGAGGTCTTATATCTTAATATTCACAAGTCAACTTATCATTCTTGTCAACATAACAGTGCAACTGTATCTACGCGACTGCAACCGTTCGCTGCGCACGCGCAAATCATTTCACTCTCTATACCCATTGGTCGACAACATTTGTTTTAATCTACTTTGAATAAATTAAGTTAATCCGCCGGTAAAAATTGGTTACCTGTACCAACTGTTCAGTTACCTTGTTGATGGACTTTAAACCTTAATTATGTGCAAATATGTCAATATTAAGGACTATTTGTTATTGTCATCATTTGCCCGTTTTAGTGCAGTATAGAGATGAGATGACCCTTCTGAGATGCAATTATAAATGAAATTAATTTACTGAACAACGTTTTCTATGATAACTACACCTAAGGTTTAACTGTTTGATCTGTTTCCATAACTAATTTTAATAAATGAAGTAATAGAGATTTATTGTTTCGATTTAGAAATTACTTTTACCACTTTTCATGAAGGAAAACCCAATTTTCTTCACGCAAATGTGTAATTTACATACTATTGACTGAGTATATACAACAGCTAATAAATCAACAGGTGTCGCGTTACATTTCCTTCCTACATAATTAGCATAACAGAAAAATGTTGTCAACTCCCCCCCTTCATTTCCCCGGTGGGGGTATTAGGCGCCGGCGCACAACACTGCGGAAAAAAGTAAAAACACTATCGTTAGTCATTAATACAGACGCAAGCGCACCGCGCACTTTTTTCCAACCATTTCTAATTTCGACACCGTCACGAACGCACGTGTCAAAAAATTAAATAATTCTTTTTTCAAATTTTTATTTTACAACAGACTTTTACCGCGTTTTTATTGGCTGTTACAATGATTAATAGTGATGTTTATGAATCGTTAAATATCGATACGTATCGCGGTGTAATTTACGCGTAACATCAGCGCAAATTGTGCGTGGTAGAAGAATGAATTGATTGTTGTCGTGTAAACTAATGACTATGACGCGTGTTAGCTGTTGTGTTTTAATTATATTTTTAACGGCGGTCTTTATGGACAGTTGTGATGGCTACAGCCCGAGAGGTAAGCAAAAACTATCAATTTTTTAACTAATTTTCAGGCTCTCACTCTTACACAATTACAAAATAACAAAAGCTTGTAAAAGCTCTTTAGAAAAAGTTAAATGAAGCATTTCATTGGTTTAGATAAAAAATGTCATCGAGTTGGAACACTCGCTAATGGATTCAATTAATTGCCGTGACTCAGCGGTTCCTTGTGAAAGGAACTGAGATGTTACAGATTTTTGTGACAATTTGCAGCTTCCTTACTGGCAGCACTTAGATATTTTACGATCGAAATCTTGATTGAAGATTAGAGTTTAACAATTAAATGTCTTCTGTTTTTTTTTTTTTTAATATTCTCAATCAATCAATCAATTTCTGGATAATGTTTTTTTTTTCTACAAAGAATAACTTTGGTTCTCGATCCTGGCTAGTTCTATGATAAAAATTTTGGGTATCAACAAATATTTGTTCAGAAATTGAAAGAGGAAAATCTTGCCTTCCGTTTCTCGATTATTAGTATTTTTGTTTCATTGTTTAAATCATCTAGAGTCTTTGTAAATCGTAAATCATTATAAGGATCTGTTTCATAACATCGGTTTGATTTTATACTAGTCCAACTAACGGAAATATACACATATTTACCTTATAAAATTATGTTAGTTAGACTAAAGAATCTTGAATTACAAATACGCCCTTTACATTGTCTCCAACCACGATACAAACAAACAAATAGGTACATAGTACTCTAGTAATAATATTGTAATATCCATCAGTTTACACATTCACTCTCATTTTCTCTGCCGGTAGCTATTATTAATATAACCGCATTCTAGCACTAACCTGTCTAGGACAACGTAGGTTATAGAGGGGCTACCTAGAAGATCTAGGTACTAAGTTAGACTGCTAATTAGAAGTTAAAGTTAATTATGTAGATGATAAGAACTAATAGGGTAGACGACTAATTTTTATTTTAATATCCGTCTGGTAGATTATTTAAAAACATTGGACACGTATTTTTTATTTTCTTACGGAAACGAATAGTTTCGAAGATATATTGGTTTGAAATGTCGCGTGACGTCACTTCTCAGTACATTTTATACTAAGAAATGACGTTTTAGCCCCCACTCCTAAACTTTGATTCGTTTTATCTAAGTATTGTTTTATTATATGACAAAATAAAAAAATACGTGTCTAATATTTTTTAATTACCTACCTTACGGACTAATTAGATTTTTAATTTTCATACCCTGTCATCATCCCCATTAGAGCAATTAGGCAATTGTTCCGTTGGTCTAGTCACAAATGCGACTTTTAAACAGGAGGACGCGACTCGAACTGGTAGAGCTTTTCTCAATATACGTGAATAACACGTCATTTTTAGTTAAGGCCTCGGGCGTTTGATTTTCGACCCGAGTAAAGTATTAGTTCGATTCCCGGGTCGGCAAAGTATTACTGGGTTTTTAAAAAAATCTCAGTAGTAGCACGGAGTCAGGAATTGTGCCCGGTATATGGCAATAGG